ACGTGTGAAGGCGTCCATAGACATCCATGGTTATTTGAGAGAACGACGTCGTGCCATGGACGGCGGACGGCGTAAAGTTGATACGTCTGAAAGGGGCCATACTGTGCTTACCTGACGCACGTACACGCATACAGAATACACTCACACACACGCACACGCATACAGAATACGCGCACACACACACGCGCACGCATATAGAATACACGCGCGTACACGCATACAGAATACACGCACGCAATACAGAATACACACACACACACACACACACACACACACACACACACACACACACACACACACACACACACACACACACACACACACACACACACACACACTCACACTCTCACACACACATAACCAATTAACACCAAGGAAGGAAAAAATAAGCAACAAGCTTAAAAAAAACCCATCGAACAAGGAAACAAAGAAAGGGCAAATAATCACGGAAAACAACGACAACAACAAACAACGACTCATAATAAACGCGGTAATCACCACTGAACAAAGAAACACACACAAAAAAGAAAAACGATAACAACACCTCCACCAAGAACTAGAACAACACCAAACAAACAAACAAAAAAAACACCAATAACAACCGCAACAAACAACGAGCGTAAAAACTAAACTAATGAGCCAATCACCGGCCAGCAAAGAACCAAAGCGAAGGAAGACAAATGACTGTGAGAGACGGAAGAGGCAGACTTACGTGCATGAAAGTGAGATGCGATGCTAATGCCAGTCATGCACGCGAAGGGGCAGTTAGAGGAGTGGAGGTGGGGAGGGGGTGGTGGGGAGGGGGGAGGGGGAGGGGAGCGAGAAGGAGGGGAAAGGAAGAAGGGAGGGTGGGGTGGGGAGGGGAGGGGAAGGGAAGGAGGAGGGTAGATGGAGGGGAAGGGAAGGAGGAGGGGAAAGGAAGAGGGGGGTGGGGTGGGGAAGGGAGGGGAAGGAGGAGGTTGGATGGAGGGGAAGGGAAGGAGGAGGGTAGATGGAGGGGAAGGGAAGGAAGAGTGCGAGAAGGGATGGGAAGGGGAAGAAGGAGGAGAGAGAGGATGGCTTGAGAGGCGAGGGAGAAAAGGAAGGAGAGGGAGAAAGAAGTACAAAAGATGGAGGGGGAGGGGGAAGGGCGGAGGTAACGGAGAGAAGAAGAGAGAAGGGGTAAAGGGAGGTGGAAAGTGAGAAGAGAAAAGGAGAGGGGGAGTGGGAAAGGGAAGGAGTAGAAGGAGGGGGGGGGGTACATGGTGGAGGATGGGAGAGTGCGTTTAGTAGAGAAATAGAGTGTTCTGAGGAGAGGTCACTGACTGATAACGGAGATAACGAGCATAAAAGAAAGATTTCTAATGGGAATATCATGATAATATTTGGTCATCATTATCAGTGTTCGTTATCATTATCATTATCATTGTTATTATTGTCATTAGTTGTAGTTATATTGGTAGTAGCAATAATATTTGCAATAGTATTATTATCTTTAATATTTATATCAGAATCAATATCATTGCTAATACCGTCATCACTAGCACTATAGCTGATACTATGATTATTATAATTATTTTGTTGTTGTTACACCTGCTGTTGCTGTTATCGTTATTGATAATGCAGTACTCATATTGTTTTTAAAAAATCGTATTTCATGTTACATTAACATTTGTTGATATTATTTTATCAGGAGTGTTATCTGCCTATTTTATCACTTTCTTCCTTTGTATTATGTCTATTATCAATAAATAAGATAAGGATGAAAATATATTTTTATCTGAGTAGCCAATATCGACTGAAATATCTATACTCATGAACTGCTGCAGGGAATGTGAATTTGGCATTCACTTTGATAAAAAACAGAAAGAAGATAGAGACAGACAGACAGAGAGAGAGAGAGAGAGAGAGAGAGAGAGAGAGAGAGAGAGAGAGAGAGAGAGAGAGAGAGAGAGAGAGAGAGAGAGAAGAGAGAGAGAGAGAGAGAGAGAGAGAGAGAGAGAGAGAGAGAGAGAGAGAGAGAGAGAGAGAGAGAGAGAGAGAGAGAGAGAGAGAGAGAGAGAGAGAGAGAGAGAGAGAGAGAGAGGGAGAGGGAGAGAGGGAGAGAGAGAGAGAGAGAGAGAGAGAGAGAGAGAGAGAGAGAGAGAGAGAGAGAGAGAGAGAGAGAGGGAGGGAGAGAGAGAGAGAGAGAGAGGGAGAGAGAGAGAGAGAGAGAGAGAGAGAGAGAGAGAGAGAGAGAGAGAGAGAGAGAGAGAGAGAGAGAGAGAGAGAGAGAGAGAGAGAGAGAAATAAACAGTTAGAAATATAACTGATTGAATATAGATATGTGTGTGTATGTGTGTGCGTGTATGTGTGTTTACGTTTGTATGTATGTCTTTTATATATATCATAATGCAATTCTTCACAATAAAAAGTAGTTTTCATTTTTTTTTATATTGATAAAATGAAATCGATGCCACGCTGATTCATAGAGTGGCGCGTTCGTGACGTAAACGTGCGTTTAACTCACGCGAAACGGAAA